GACCGAGATCTTGTTAAGACTGAACTGTGTAGAAAATTTCATCGCAATCGGACTCTCCTTTCAAAAGTTATCGTGTAAACGGACGGACGGGCGGACACACTGACCGATTCTAGAGTGTACTCACTTTTTGAGTACACAACAAGGTTCTATAACTTTAATCACGATAATTAGGAGACCTTTTGAAATAGCATCCACTTCATGTTTTTACATGTTTCAGCACTGCTTTGTTATCTTTAACCACTATTTACGTCTATCCGACCTCAAAACTCTCACCAAAGTCCCTACGGCACATGAACAAATCATACTAGCGCTCTCGCTATTGTGCAGATCGAAAACATCAGGTTTTCTTATCTCATGGTTCGATTGAAATTTACAAATTTGAAAAATTTGTTCCAATAATCGTCAACAAAATATTCATAAAAGATTCACCTGATCGATTAATAGCTTGCCGTTCAAATTATGTCTCTGAAGTTGCCCTTTCAAATCGAGAAAATCCGAGTTCCGTCACTATAATTAGTCAAAAAAATGATTTACTAATATAGGTACTTTTACAAAGTGCGCCAAGAGTTTAAGTTTTTGACTAAAAGTGTCAAGAATTTTTTTTCATATTATAGTTGAATAATATCATGTATGAGCTTCATAAACTCAATTTGGATAGTAAACTCGAGGAACAATGAAATCTTAATAACGTAGATGCTGCAAACAAAGTCGTGGATTCTGAAAAATAAATTTTCCGAAAACGTAAAACTTTCTCGTAAAAACGTCCCGAGACGTTCGAAAACATGTATTCTTCATCAGATCCGCATGATCTATGCGACTCAGTGCATAACAAAGAAAAATAGTTCAACTCTATTTTCACACTATTGGCAGTACAGTAGGCCATTTATCTATGAATATGTGAAACTTCTCATTATCAGGAGACTCTCCCAGTTGAAGCTTTACATCTGCAAGTCCAAGGATGTATTGTCGTTCACACAGTTGAAACAATTAAATACTATGCATTTAGATCTTCCTATGTCTGCTCTCATTCGATTCTATTCAAGAATTGGATATTCTCTCTAAATAATGCTTCACTGCGCATCACCTTCTTACTTGGTTTCGATCAATTTTTCCATTAGGCAACACCGGCAAACTTGGCAATATCATAAAAAGCGACGGAACACTGAATGATGCCAAATGCTCCTGGCAATACTGGCGAATATCATTCACATTGATCTTATCCATATTGTTGCCTACCGCTAAATAGGCAATCAGATGATCTTGTTCTTCATGAACCGCTTTCATTACAACACAGTTCGAGATGATCGATGGAGAAAAGGCCATTGTGATATGTTCCACTTCAGCCGCTTCAATTCTTTGGTTTTGAATTTTCAACTGAAAATCTAAACGGCCGATAACAACTATATTGCCATCTTCGGTATATTTAGCCATATCCCCAGTGCGATAGAGCAGCTGCTCATCATCTGTTAAATGAGGCAGTTTAATCAATACTTTATCTGTTTTTGTTCGATCATTTAAATATCCTTTGAAGAGACAGCCACCTAAAAATGTAAAGAGAATTCAAAGCATTCTCGCTAGCTTCATATATTCAAAAATGTTGTTCACCTCCGTATAGGATTTCTCCCATTTGGCCGCTATCGGTAATTAATTGAAAAGTTTCATCGACAATATATCCAGTAAATCCAAATCCTGGACGTCCAGAAGGAACAATAATTTGATTATCGTTGGTGTTTTCAATTCCAACCGAACCGTCTCGTGGCACTCGATAATGACTTGTAATGGCACATTCACTTGTGCCATGAACATTGTAATGAATTGCTTGAACGGGTAGTAGAGCATGCAATTGTTTGGCCAATGTCCATGGTAATGGTTCACCTAAAATAGGTGTCAATTTCTGAGCAAGAATTACGAAACAAATTATAGTATTTACCTGCAGTGAGTATGCGTTGTACTGTGGCAAAACATTGTTCGCCTGCTTTTGTTAGATGAAAATAAGAAATGAAGGCGCGTAAGAATGTTGGACTGAACATCATCCAAGTCGGCTGTTGTTCTCGAATCAGATTTGTTAAATAGGTAAGATTGAGAATGCCGTCTGGCTTTAGAATAATGAGTGTTGCACCCGACACACAGAAGTCAAGCATTTCGAGTATATGTGGTACCCAACTACATGAGGCTAGCTGAAATATGTTATCAGTCGGACGTACTAAACCATCGACGATCATGTAGTTTATATAATGGAGAGCACTAGAATGTGTGTGCTCAACTATTTTCGGCTTGCCAGTTGAACCTGATGTAAATGTAACATAACAAGAAGATGATCTAGTCAATCGGATCGATGACAGCCGAGCAAGGTCGTCGTCGTGCACGATAGATAGGGTAGAAAGCTGATTGTCTATTGGAATAAACGACAAAGTTGCAAATGACTCAAGAGTTAAAAACTTGTCGTGAGTTAAATTGTGACCAAGAATGACATTTGCTCTGTAGGACCCTAATTCCTGCATCCTCACTATAAGTCTAGCCGGTGGATCTGCTGGATTCAATGCACAATAGACGCACCCAGCAGTCAAAATCGAAAAGAATCCCAATGGCATTTCAAGACTTCGATCAACCAGTTGACAAATGACTTGACCCGTCTTGACACCTTGTGATAGAATATCGAGAGTAAGACGTTGTACATATGCAGCCATTTCAGCATAAGTAATTGATTGATCAGCAAGAACTAATGCTACTTTCTGCGGCCATTTCACTGCCATGTGGAATAGGGAGTGATGTACACAAATATAGTCATCCATAAGACTTGTTTTTCGATCTAGAATAGTCGCTGAAAATATAAAATATTTCAAAAACTCGGATGACGCCTATTGTATTTTATTTGGAAATCATCGATGAATGCCGGTTTTACATATTGTTAATGTGTAAAACACATGGGCAGAGCGAGCATTTGGTGTGCCAGATGTGAGAAAAACATTGTCATAATACTTTTCCCGTTCATCGTATGAAGCTATCATTACCTTTTCGCTTTTGTGAAACAAGACTGACCGGACTGTTGATGTGTATAGCTAGAAAAGTAAATTTTCAGCTCGCCTCATGAACTGTCAGACTTCTCAGTGCTGTTTTTAATTCCGTCACACATGGTTCTCGATGAGAAAGAAGGCGACCGGGCGGTAGCCCCCTCCAGTTCACTTTTAAGTCGCGTCTGAAAGAATCTCTAGGCTAGCTGTCTGCCAAATTTGTCGGCACACACTTGGATTTCTACTGAATCTAGCAGTCAGTCTGAGGAATCTGCGAAACCTGGAAGATGGTGCTATCAAACACATTATTGCGAACTTTGTCAACAATCCTAAACTAACCAAAAAACTGGAAAATTCGCTTGTTTTTGGAGGGCTACTAAGAAATAACGCTCGTCGAAAAGACTGCATTACAACTTGTTTGAGGATGTTGTTATTTTATTTAAATCTTTGCCTACTATCGACGTATATATGCGTTATGAACTTTATCATTACGTGACAATAATGCAATTACTTATAATTCATGTTTCTTTTAGATATATTTACGTAAAAGCAAATGCCAGGGTGCAGCAGTTTTCCACGTCACCATTTTGTTATGGTACGTGCTAGAGTCGGGCCATAGGAAAAGCATGAAATAGTTATAGTGCCTTTTCTGAAAAATCGTTTTCTTTTTCTCTCTTATGACGGTAACCAAAGAGCTGAGAGATATATACTTATCGATTTCTTTTTTGTCTATTATTTATTGTAGAATCATAATGATTTGTTTCAACCTGAAATCTCAAAAACTCAAAAGGATAACTTTACGAAATAGTTTACTCGAACATGGAGGCTGTGAATGTGTGATTGCTCATGGGAAAGGAGACATACCCACATCTGCACCCAGCTCCATCAAATGTCTTCAAGAAATTGATCGTCTTACATAATTCTACGTCTGTTTCACGACTTTTTTGTGATGAATTCGCATTTGTGTTACGCCACAAAAGAGAAAAGTCTTCGAGGCTTTTGCCTTCCGCTTCTTCGTCAACTTCATTGGTTTTTGACTGCACTTCTGTCAAAAGAGCAATGCTACAGTGCCTTATATAGTCAATTGACACCGTAGAGACTGAAGTCCATTGAGTTCGCGTCTGAAAGTCTCCTGCTAGTCAGGATTGACTCAGTGGGCGCTACTCTGAAAGAAGGCGTCAATTATAGCTTGATTCTTATAAGATCATTGTTAAAATTGTCAGAGAAATGTTGGAGATATGTTTTGAAGTGACTCTCAAGGGCAGATTAAATACTTTATTAAACAACAAAGGTAAGATTTTAGTTCGGAGTCATCAGATCATGCGAATTCTAGCTGTGGCTGAGGTTTAGAAAAAATTTGGTTGCACTCGATTATAATAATATCGTTCTTTACCTGATGTAATATCCATTATAGTCGTCGTTATGGGAGACGTATTAACCGCATTTTCAGCGATCAGATTCTGATTAGTGCTCGTTGAAGACATGTTCGTAGATTGGGTCGTAGATGAAACTAAAAAATCATTTAATACTATTGACAATAGTGGTGGCAACTTTTTCGAGAAAAATCTACAACAACAGGGGCCCATTATAACGGCAAAATTTCCTCAAAACATATATTCTGTACTCATCTGTTTTCTTTGTGGAACTCACATATGTTTTCGAAGAAAATAGTAGTGAGTGTAAGTTTTAAGTTTAAGTTTTGGCGCTTCCCCTCTCCCTCCCCATTACAGACATTTATCAATCAGAGGCTCCATTGCAGACTTCAGCAATTGAAGAAAATAAGGTTCTGACTTTCTAAATTGTTTTTGCAAAATTGATCTAGTTAAAATTTTAAAAAATAATGAATGTGATTCTTTATGTGTTAATTATATATCTATATGTATATAATGTTCAGTGCCTTCTTCTCTGTGCCGGATCAAAGTTCAAATAAGGCTATAAAGGAGAGAAGGCTATGAGGGGGTAAGACTATAAGAGAGGAAGACAATAAGGAGGTAAGGCTATAAGGGAGGAATACTATCAGACAGAGACACTCTAAGGGGATTAGACTACAAAGGATATGACTGCAAGAGCTGCAAGAAACATAAGGCTATAAGGCCGTAAGGCTACATGGGCTATTAGCAATATAAGGATATCACACCGTAGGGCTTCTATGTGCATAATGTCGAGTGTTTTTATGTCTGTTACTGAGTGAAAGGTTAGAGTTTTGAGGTGGCACGTTAAAGAAAAAAACGCTGCCTCGTACTATGCACGGACTCTCGCTAGTATCATATAATAGTGCGTTAAAATCTGCTGTAAGCATGATCGATATGTAAAATAGACTTGTTTACCATTTAATTCGTTGATTATAACAATAGCAATTATAAACTAATAACAAAAAATTAAAAAAATTAAAATTATGAGCATATTGACAGAATTCTGATAGATAGTAGCGCGCATAGAAATAAAATCTTTATTCAAAATATAGAAAAATCTATGAAAGATTTATCAGTTTAAGTATTTTGTATTACTTTAATGAAGTAAGGGAGCATATGTGAGTCTCACAATTCAGCCTCAAAGCGACTGTGGTAACAATCTTTTCTTTTCTGTTTTACGTCAAAATATATTTTATCTGTCATAAAAGCGAAACTTTATGAGAGCATTTTCTCTCAATTCTGAAGTGTTCTCAAAATAATCAAGAGAAAATGAAGGTAGATAAAAGTTTTCTATTACTTTTTTTATATGACACAACATATGACAGAAAAATAAAAACATAGAAGTCTATAGGGTTCCACTATTGATAATAAACAGCTCTTTTTGTTTATCAATCTAGTAACTGATCGAGCTGATGTTCTTATAGTTCAACAGCGTTACAAAATGATATAGAAACATCGAGGAAAAACCAATGACCATCTAGCGGAATTCCCAAGATACTATCTTTTTTTTGTCTGATTTTTGAACTGTTTTCGTCGAAAATTACATTTCTAGTGTTCTTCAAGGTTATGTAGAACTCAAAATGGCAGATGAATAAACGATAAAGCAATGTCTTTGTGAAAGTATAGGATGTATAGTTTAGGAGAAAAATTACATTATCGTTCTCACAATTACATGAGTAGTCCTTGTGCAAAAGCTTGACCTCGTGATAGACGAGAGAGCTAATTCTTTTCGTTGTAAGTTACCTTCTCTCGATGATGATAGTACAACTACGGGCAGTGTTGTAGAAAGCTGTTCCACTGTTGAATGATGCACAGTACTGCTGTTGAAACAATCGATTTTAATTTTCTTTTACTGTGCAAGCGGTAATAATAATGTGAGAGCTACACGAGTATATGAGTGCTGTACTGATGTAAGCGAGTAAGAATGCGAAAAAATGGCAAAAGACATACAGAAGTAAGATCACGCAGTTTGTTCTTCCATGTTCTGTAGATAAGCGCCTGAGCAAATGTCTAAAAATAGAGTATGAATACAAAACTGCTTCGCACGAGTCAAAAAATATATTTTGATGCAAGTAAGAAAATGACAGTAGCACAATTGTAATCAACTTTTCACAACATCTGCCTTGGAGGATCTTTGCTGATTCAGCACCAACAACTATTCATGGTTGAGAACGGATGGGTGCAGGTCTTCTCTGCACTCACATCCTCAACATTTCACATGTTATGTTTGATATATTTTTTGTATTATCACGAAAAATTCGTATTGATGCAATCGAAGAAATTGTGTTCGAATTAGATTTTCTCGTTCCGAACAAGACATTGAGACTCGACACACGAATGATCGATGAAAATAAAAAGTGATGTTTCATACCTCTTTTCTAAGGCTAGTTTCGACGACTTTCACGAAGTTACTTTATCAAAATTGTTTACTCAGAGAAATTACACAAGCTTATGACACTCTCTAACAATGATTTCAATCCTTATCTGCTCAACATCTCTTATTGATGAAAGCGGTACTTAAATGTTCAATGATTGTTCAGATGATGAAACAATTGAATTTTGAAATAGAAACATAGGAAACAGAGTGTGTCCAGTAAGTCATTAGCCAAACAAAAATTTGAACATCTCCACTCTTCCGTAGCCTATCGGACTGGGTATCGATCTAAGTGTTGATGTTGGGTGTGAGGTGTGTGTAGGAGTGGGCATGTAGGTTGAAGTGAATGTGGACGTTTACTTGTTTTAGTCGAAATCCATACCCACACATCCCACACTCACGCTTACGTCCACACCTAATTACATCCACACCCTATTAGAACAACTACTTCTCCTACATCTTAAATAAATCAATAAGAAGAATTCTGTCCTTATTTGACTGGATTCAGGCATTGACAAGAACACTGAAAATTATCGAAATTGTACAATTGAGCTCAGGCGTGTTGCTCTTCGAATCTATACATTCATCGATGTAAATGCCCTGGGTAAGTAATCCAATGGTAAGATCTTACTACTGATCTTGCCTGATCTTAAAGGGTTATACAAAGGGCGTACGAAAAATCGTGGTGTCCGAGAGTCATTCATCAAATCATACTGTAAGATGCGTGCAAGATCTTGCTCCCTTGTAAGATATTGCTATGCGATCGTACAAAAATTTATGTATAAGTGAGATCTTGTATGCATCTTACAATATGACTTGATGAATGTTTTTCAAACACTACGATTTTTTGTACGGTTTTTGTATAATCTTACAGAATGATGCAAGATCAGAAATCCGATCTGAAGATCTTACGTCCGATTGTTTTGACCAGGTGCATGCGTTGGCTTTCTAGCTGA